GTGAGTATAAAAGAAATTTTACTTTGATACATTCTATTAATGTTGTCATATTTCTTTTATCAGCGTTATATGATGAGCGAAGAACAAGATCATCAACAATTATTTGAATTAATCGAAAAAATGCTCGAATATGATCCAAAAAGGCGGTAAGAATTTTCTTAAAAAAAATAAAAATAGAACAATTCTATTCTAATTCGTATTTTAAAACATAATGTATACAAGTATAAAACGTCATTTCATCTCTAACTCGATCAAGAACTATGAAATTTATAATAATGTGATTAGGTATAGTTATATAATCATTTTTGTCTATTTCTTTTTCTTCTCTAGAATAACATTGAATGAAGCCCTTCGACATCCATTCTTCGAAAAATTATCACCGGAACAGCGAATCGCCATTAATACCGAATCAAGATCTTGATAGTGTCGTTGTTTTGTGTTTCCTTTTTCTATTCTTATAATATTATTATTTGTTTGTTTACTACTTTTATTCACTCGTGATATTCAACTGTAAGTTGAATAAGCATAGGATACACTTATGCTATATTAATTTATGATTTATTTTCTTTTCTTTTTTTTTCTGTTTATTTTAGTATGTTATATATATATATATCCGTATCGTCGTATGATGTTCTTGTTTCATTCAATACAAGCCAGAAATTGCTCGTCTATTTTACTTTCTTCGTTTGTTATTTTGTTATTGAAGTGTCCAAATTAATTCTTAAACATTTCTTTAACAAACCATCTATATAGTGAAAGAAGAAAACAAACAATAGTTCGACGATCTGTTACTGGTGATTCTTTATTGTTGTTATTATTGTTGGTGGTTACTTTTTTTCTTTTTCTTCCTGGTCAAATCTTTTTTTTTTTCGTTTTGTATTATGAAATAATATAGACATGACGGTCGACATATTCTTGTTGTTGTTCTGTTTTATTTTCATGTCATTTTTTTTTCTACGTATGTGTTGCCGTCACAAGGAACAAAAAAAAAATATGTATTCAATCAAAAGTTTGACTTCTAAATATTGTGAACGAAAGCAAAATAAAGTGTATAGAACGATAATAGATAGATCACACAAGCGTAGAGAAGACAGTGGTACATCCTTTGCTTCCCTTTTACATCCCAATTTTCATCACCAAAGATTGCCTCATTTATCTGCAAATTATTTTTCGTTCATTGGGCTTATTTGTTTTTTTTTTATATATTTCTTATATGTTCCGATTTCTTTTTTGTTTTGTTTTCTCTTTTTTTTGTTCTTTTGTACAGATACATACTTGAATAGGAAAAAAAGGCAATTATGGTAATCAAAATAACATTGATAACATTCGACAATTAGTTAAGATGATCGTATGTGATGTGAAACATGAGTAGAAGTGAAGATGCTACCTTAGAGAAAATCTTTTCAGATTCAAATAATTCGATTTAGACGAGATCAATTTCGTGAATTCATAAGAAAATTGGTAAAAACACGATTTACATTGCGTACATTTCTTATAGTCCAAACAATGACTGCTGAATTACTATTTCAAACAACAATCTAGAATAACATGTGTAGGAATGTCGCCGAGAGATGTATGATGAAAAATGAGATCACATAGGTTCGCTCTGATGTTTGGAGAATGAATAGATTTTTTTGTTGAAAATAATAAGCCTTTTGCAATGAGCATGAGATTTAAATGCTTAAAATTTGAGAACTGAATGAACAACCATATCATGCATATGGGCGATTTACAGTTGATATAAATTTTATACTTTCAGAATACAAGCGGAAAAATATTTCATTCCTAAACTAAAACTATCGAAAAATACAAAATCAATTTTGTACGAATAGAAATTCGAATACATGAACTTAGCTTTACAGTAAACTGCAAAACTAAATTCACTGTTCTACTAAATTTACAGTTTCATTGTACCGTTTCATTCCGCTACGTAAGTAAACAATATCGGTGGTTCCAGTAGACCGATCATTTTTTTTTTATTTTACTCTTCTAACTTGCACTCACTACCACAGACAGCCCGATCTCACGAGCGATATTCCGAACGGGATATCGGAGAAAATTTATATCCTGATTGGGATATTTTTGCAAAATATTTTGGAAAAAATCATTATCGCAAAAATCGTGACGTTCTTGCAGAAAAGTGACTATAGCATAAGGAAATGGATGAAAAACCGAGTCGGAATCTATATTGCTCTAGTCTGGAGTCAAAAGTCTCCCGTTCACTATTTTTTAAATTTCAGTCGAGATATACAAAATAGCCTGATCGGAATATGTGCATAAATAGTTCGATGCTTTTTTGAGTAGCTTATATTAGTTTACATACTCATGTAAATGTAATATTAGTTTTCTTCAAAGATGAACTCACGCTCGCACATTCAATACCATATCCTGATCGGACTATATCCAGAAGAGGATGTATATTATATCCCGAACGGAATATATATCCTGATCAGGATATCATAGCCCGATCAGGATATATTTTTATAACCCGAATGGGATATATATCCCGTTAGGGCTATGAGATCGGACTGACAGAGAAAGTCGGTACTTTCTATCAACAGGATCTTGAGATATGGGTTACACAAAAAACTTGGAAATGGCCTCAAATGATACGGGAGAAAAGCATTATAACGTGACAAAAAAAGAAAATTTTTGATATTCCACTGTAGGTGGAAAGGTCCTGAACAAAATACAAAAGCGTGCTTTTCATGACACGTACAATATTCGCCATACTTATTATATATTAGTAAGACTCGTCATTGAAGGGACTGTTGACCTAGAAACGTGCCATCTCTGAAGTATGTTTGTACTGATCGAAGTGTGTCTAAGATCTCATTTTTGTGATAATTACAAAACTGAGTGTCGTTTCATACTTGACAAAGGTTTTTTAGTGTTGAAAAACTCAGTTTCTCATTCGTATATGCTGGCACATGTGCGCATTGAAGTCGATACATGCATCATGAGATTTTCCTCACCGAGGCTTATTAAACGGTATTTCATACGTATACGTTTCTAACAGTAACGAACGTTTTTTAGCTCAGTAACCTTAAGGATTTTACTGATTCACGAATTGCTCGAATATCTCGGTCATCTTAGTAGTAGAAATCGGAAATTTCTTTTCCTGTACTCCTCTCATGAAGTAGATAATTCGTAAAAGTTAGATTTCATTTGTACTTAACTTTTTTTTCCTTATATGATGAAACTGCAAATTGCCCGTATATAGTTCATTTTGGTGTATATTTGTTTTAAAAAAAACTGTTTTGCATATTAATTGTAAACATAATTCGAACGATCAAATTTCTTTGCGTTTAAAATATTTCATTATGATAACTTGAAGAATAGAAATAAAAACAGATAGTTTGACCATATTCCGAGCGGAACTGTCGAAGTGTCCTTTACATGGAAGATTTATGCATTAATTCGAATGGTCAAGTATTATGCTCCGTTGACTTTTAAAAATAAACTAATTCATTCTCTTAAATAGAACTATTGCGTGATTTTTTGTTAAATTGCTCAAGCAAGTATAAATTAATGGTATATTCTGTTCAAATACCATAAGCGTAGATACAAATTATAGAAAATTTGTGAAAATATTGTGAAGATTAAGCGTATGGGGGCTTCGATCTATTGCCGCTTAGAGTGATCTTAAAAGATGTGCAAAAGACTTTTACATATACTGTAAAAAAAACCAAGAGTCGATCGCTCTTACTTTAGAAGTACTAGATGAAATAGGATCGTTGAAAATATGCATGTTAAACTACTTTAAACTAAACTTTTTAACTTTAAAGCTTGTGTGGACCCAACCGATGGAGAATTTTTGTATGTCCATACTATACTAAGATGAGAACTAACGTATGACAACCATGGATGGCAATGATATGGGACAAAACATTCTGTCTCATGAGATAGTTTTTTCGTTCAATCCAATTGTCACTCATAGTGGCGTCTCGGTGAGGGCAATTTGACAAAAATTTTCTAAAGTGGAATAGAATAACCACTAGTGCTATTTGCACTATTAAAGTATTAACACTTTACTAATATTAAGGCGTAATATTTCAACTATTAAACGTTTATCAATCGAATTGTTCACAAAGTAATAGAACAACAACAACAAGAATAATAAATAAGGAGTTATGAAAACAGTTCCAAATTTAACGACCATTTTTACCAATCATTATTAACAAAACATCTTGCAAATTATTTCTGATTTTGCCCGCAGGGTGGTAAGGTTTAGATGATTTTTCTTCACCTGTTTTTTATAAACATTCGTATTGACAAGTTAAAAGGTAATCCATGTAAAGTCTTAAATGTTTGCAGACATGCTGATTTATTAAATGCAATCTGCTAACATGATGATAATACAATTTAAATTATCAGCTTTAAGGAAGCGGTAGAAACTATGAATGATGTATTGAACAATAAAATATTATGTAATTATTTTCTCATCTTTACCAGCTAGTTATTTCATCGTTAAGGAACTGAAAGAAAATATTAAGAAAAATTATTCATTCTACATTTGATTTAAACCAGTTTAATCTGTAAATGCAGAAAAGTTTTCAAAACAAAGCGAGCGTAACCCATTGTACGTTGATCAGAAGTGAGGCCATAAAGTAAAAAGAAATAAAAAATATAAACAGACAAATGAACGTGGTATGTGATAAAAAGAAAGAACAGAATAAAAATATATTCGGCACATCATTCTGGACAGTTAATCTAAGTAGTAAAGCAAGAAACAAAAGAGGCGAATAGGACGTAAACTGACTGCCTGGGCGAGTAAATGAGTTTCATGACAAAAATGAAATACTGAATATCACGGAGACCGAAAATGACTGGTACATTTAATAAAATTAACGATAACTAAGTAAACATCTCTCAGTTGCGGCACAGATAGATTAGCAATATATCGATCATGTAATCAAATATGGCCAATAGTAACTTTGATCTTATTTAAAACTCTAGATAGAGCGTAAGATAAATCTGGTGACTGGTTAATTCGTTGTATGGACTATTTGTTGCGGGTCTTTTTTGTTGCAGCTACCTTATTCGTTTTTTCTGATAAATTATATCTTCCATTTAATACTGGTTTCGGTTACGTCCTTGAGGTATTTGTGCGAGGTATAGTGAACACTGTGATAAATCATTGCTTTCCCTTTCTCAGTCAAGATCTTGTGAATGTCAGACGGTTAAAGGATGTGAACGTAAACAGTTGGAAAGAAAAATGATATAGAGCAATTTCCTAATCTATTTGTACGAGAGCGACAGTAGGGATTGATCGAAGAAGAGAAAAAATCAAAGAAATATATAATATAATATATATATAATTTTTCAGGAAGAACGAATAAGGTAGCTGTGCTTCTGTTCTCTTTTTATGATCAGAGATCAGCAACATCGGAGAGAAACACAAGAGAAAAATCTATTACAGTAGGTACAATGAACTATACGCTCCACTCGATGGTACTAATAATCCCTACGACAAAAAAGATAATCCCTTTTGGCAAGCAGAGTTAGGAAAAGATACAAGTGACAATGCATAGAGATCAGCATTAAGGGTACCCTTCCCCTCATTGTGGGCTTTCTGTACAAATGCTGTGAAATAAAAACCAAAAGTCACTACGGCTTCATATTTTCAGAACTGACTGAACGCTCAATGCCGCACTCTTTCGTTTTTGTTTCAAGTTTTTAACTATTGCGCGTCGAAATGGAGAACAAGTTGGGCCTTAGTTCATTCCATAGTAGCGCCGCATCCTTACATCCTTTCAAACGCTTATGTCTGTTTCAGAAAATTGTGTATCCTTTAACGCCCAATTATCTGCGTGAACCCATTCCTCAGTCTCAGAAACGTTACGCCACACCTAAACACAATAAAATCTCTACTTTATGAAAAGATACACACGTCCTAAATACGCCTTTTATAAGGACCGCGTTTCTCTTGTGTTTCTCTCCGATGCTGCTGATCTCCGATCATAACAAGAGACAAAAAAACAGTCAAATGACTTTATATAAAGCTGCTGTGAAAATCCTATTTTTACTGTGTGTAAATCTTCTAAACGTCACTTGACAAAGTGTTTACCGTCTCTAGATGGTCAATCCTGGTGTGTTAAAGAGACTTCTTATTTTTCGTTTTTCTCCCGAACTACTGCATCAAATGAATAAGTAATTCCAGAATCATGATCACCATCTTCGAAAGTATATATACTGTCATTTCCAGCAAAAACGGATAACAAAAAACAGTGAAAAAAACATTGCCATATGGTAGATTTGCACAATCGATTGATGAATCTCAGACATTTCCAGCGCAGATAGTTAAGACAAGTAGACTAAACATCAGTACCATGTTTATCCGATGAATGTTTGTTGTCGGATGAACAGAGATGGACACATTGGCTAATTGATTTCGATGAACGATCATCAACTATCTTAGACAAACTTTATAAATATTTAAAAGCTAATCAATTACAATCAGTCAATTATTTTTCAGTAGATGAACAATATCATGTTACACCATTACTTTTTGGTCGTATTGGTTCGATGATAGTGAATGATGTCGGTATCGGATGTGTGAAACTCAATGTAAAAAATACAAATTTATTTCTCTCATTAACCATGATGCAACAAACATACGATCAATTGAAATTAATATTAGACCGTGATCATCTAATTAAAGTATACGTAGGAAAAAGCATTGAATTTTTAAATAGAAAAGTGACTGCTTATACAATTGTTCCAACAACAAATACATTGTTGTTGTTCACTTCTCAGTATGTACTTTACACACTTACGCCGTTCATTCTAGACGGTCACTGGGAAACGACTTGGCGTTCACTTTATGTGTGTCATTTACACACTTTAGTTTTTACAATCTAGGCTCGTTCGTTCTGCTTGTGCATTTTTGGTTTCTGTCTGAGAAGCATATTTTTCAGGCATATTTTACACACCGTTTGAATCCCTTAAATATGATATCAAGCATTGTAGCATATATTCACTGTGAAGGATATCACGTGACAATTAATTATCTCCACAGAAGACGGCAAAGTTCTTCAAAAAGATATGCTCATCTTCCAGGACTAATTATAGGTGAACTAAAGTATACATAGAAAAATGAACTGCAGATGTGTCATCTACAACCGTTGTAGATTTGACTTATCTTTTTCCTGAACCTCTACGGTCAGCTATAACCTAGAACGAGTGGCTGAATCGAACTAGAAAAATGGTATGGAAAGAATTCTGCTAGGCAACGAGTAAAAAGCAATAAGTCTCCTGACTTTCACTCAGTTGACTTAAAGAACTAGAGACCAACTATACAGCGCATAGATTCGAAAGTCGACTGAGTGAAACGGTAAACAGACGACATTAGAAGATTCAGAAACTCATAACAGTTTGACTACTTTCCAAGAAGAATTCCTATCCTAGTCATCGATTCTTATATAAGAATCAAATACGAAACTTGTAAGAAGCATGTAAGAATCTTACAAGAATCTTATAAGAAGCATGTAAGAATCTTACAAGAATCTTATAAGAAGCTTACACAATTCTTATATAAGATCTTCCACGAAAGTGACAATATGAGCCGACTGCTATGCAGCAGATTTCCCGTAGTGTAGTTAGTTGATGTTCTAGTTGTTCTTATTTTCGGCATGTTCTGTGAAATTTTAAGGGAAAAAATTTTTCCCCTATCTTGTATCATCTTTAAACGAAAAAAAAATCCAGTTATATCTTCTATAATTTATCCATAGTGGCCAGAAACGTCACTTTGTGCATCAATGTCGTACGTGTGCTTAAAAAGTGGTGAGATACCTGAAAATGTCTTTGTACCTGTTTGCTACCGTTGGGAATTTTGAATTAAATATCTTTAAAATTAATCCGCAGTTGAACAACAAATTCAGAACATCACAGAAAACGTTTATTTTACTATGTCACTTGTGATAATCCAATTAGTAATAAAAACTAGTCAATTTTTCGAGAAGAAAACGATGTTGATATCGTAAAGATGAAATCTGCTTTTCAAAGTAAAACTAGTAATTAACTATAGTATTTTATGGTCAATTCGACAGTGTTTCTACACTTAATTCCGAACATTTTCGCGCGGTTTTAGATCGACTTTTAAGTCAAAAAGGATCACAAAATGTTCGACATGTGTTGCTTACCTTTGCAAAAAATTTGAAATATAATTACGCGATCATTGTCTTTCAACATCACCTGTATTCTTTACATTAGTGACCCACATTTTTACACACAAAGTAGGTCAATTAACATGTTTGCTGAGATTTTTCTAAACTTTTAGCACCTTTTCTAGTATATGACGATAAATTCACAAAAGATAAGAAGAGGAAAAAATGCCTGTGTCATAGTATAGTATATGTTTGTCTGTGACCTCTGAACTACTTGTTTGAGGTATTTCGACCAGTCGAAAAGACTTTCGAGCTAAATTTTTTGTACCTGCCTTATATATCAGTTGTGTAAACCGATTACTGAAAACATCAACGAACAACGGACAAATAAATACAGAAAAATTACTCGAAATGAAAGACATGTTTCTCTTCCCATATTTTAAAAATAACGATGAATTACTTATACAAAGTAATTACCCAAATAAGTCAGTTTAATGTATCTAACAGAGGAGTCATGTTTTGATACTATGTCACTTGTGATAATCCAATTAGTAATAAAAACTAGTCAATTTTTCGAGAAGAAAACGACGTTGATATCGTAAAGATGAAATCTGCTTTTCAAAGTAAAACTAATAATTAACTATAGTATTTTATGGTCAATTCAACAATGTTTCTACACTTGTTTCCGAACATTTTCGCGCCGTTTTAGCATCTAGATCGACTTTTAAGTCAAAACGATCACAAAATGTTCGACATCTTTTGCTTACCTTTGTGAAAAATTTGATATATAATTACGCGACCATTGTCTTTCAACATCACCTGTATTCTTTACATTAGTGACCCACATTTTTACACACAAAGTAGGTCAATTAACATGTTTGCTGAGATTTTTCTAAACTTTTAGCACCTTTTCTAGTATATGATGATAAATTCACAAAAGATAAGAAAAGGAAAAAATTCCTTTGTTATAGTATAGTATATAAGCCTGTGACTTTTACTAGTTTTTCAAAAACATATTTGAATTTCTCTATACTAATATGTCTCTGTTTACCAGTAACTTTCAACAATGTAAGTCTTCTTTATTTAGCTGAAATATTTGTGTTTCTCAAACTTGGTTTTACTTATTTATAGACGGAAACTTTATGTTTGGTTTTGTTCACATTCTATTCAATTTGTCATCGTTTTTCGAATCGTTTTTATTTTCAACGGTCAGTTAGGATTTTTTTCTAGTCAGATAGTTATACTGAAACCGTTTATTTTTTTTTGTTGTAGGTGGGATGGTATAATGTGTACATGTACACACCATTACAGATTCATCTACCACCTTACATAGCTAAAATACCGCGATTTGCTCATCTTGGCACAAATTCCATAACAGTATTTAATGCCAATATTGTCACGTATTCTCGAACATTATTAATTATACCCATTGCTTGGCTTCTCAAATATGATCATAATATATGGGCATGTTTATTGATACTCTTACACGATTTGCTCGATCATGTTGATGATATTGTGGCTAAAACACAAACACGAATCTATGGTGAAATTGATGATCCACTATTGAATGGTTTCATGCACACATTTTGTGATAAAATTGTTAGTATATTCTGTTTATGGACAATATTGCTAGAAACAAATTTTTCACAAACATCTTATTTCCAAACAATGGTAGTTATATGTTTATGCTGCACGATCATTGGAGTTGAAATAGTAACTGGTATTGTCCGTGTTCAAGAGTATTTTCATGCATCACTAAGGTAAAATAATTAAGATAAATAAACAGACCTAATTATATATTTCTTGCCCTGTTTCAGTGGACATCAGCAGCTGTCAGGAACAGATACAACAGCAGCAGCGATGGAAGGAAAATTAAAGAAGAAACTAGAATCAATGGGATTAGCTTTCCTATGCTTATCAACAGGATATGCAACGCCATTCAATCATTGGTGTAAGTAATAAACCTTTTATCAATGGTTTCCAAATACTGACAATAATGTTTTCTTCTAGCTGGCATTATGGGTGTCATTTGCTGTTCGTTAACAGTTCGATTCGCTTATGTTAGTCTAACAGAAAAACTTCGTGCAAGAGAGAAAATCATTAGTATTATTAATGCAACAAAATCGAGTTCAGAATCGACGGCAAGTGGTAGAGTAATGACATTAGATTCGATATTAGGAGAGGTAAAATTATTCTTTGTTATTCATTGTGAGAACAAATGAATAACACGTATCTTGTATTCTTTCAGTCAAAAATTAAAGCAAAATCCCTGAGCAATAGTGCAAACAATAGTAGTAAAAATGCTATTCTCAATGAAAAATCTTTAGAAAATCATCCGGTCAATCATTCAGCAACAACTATGCGACAAATAAAAGAGAAAGACGAAGAAATGAGAGAACTTGCAGTGACCCGAAATGCATCGCTGCCAATAATTTGGATCGATGGACGAGCTGATAAAGTATATACAATTGGTTGTTTTGATTTATTTCATGAAGGACATCGATTACTATTGTTACGTATGAGACAATTTGGTCGAGAAGTCATTGTTGGCGTTCATGATAGTCATAGTATACACAAGCTGAAAAAACGTGTACCCGTTGACGGTACTGACCAACGAATGTTAAATGTTAAACAGCATGCTGATCAAGTTTATTGTATAGCAGGAACAGATCCCAGTGCATTCGTGAAGTGCATTGTCCATTTGAAAGAAAACGAATCGGCCTTGTATATACGTGGTGACGATATGGCTGATTTTCCATCGAGACATGTTGTAGAAGGATTGATGCCCGTGAAATTTTTGCCTTATACAGCTGGTATATCAAGTACAAAGCTAAGACAGGAACGTTATTCGCATATACGCTCAGACGACCTTGAACATTTGGAAAGGATCAATTAATAATAATATAAGAAATTTCACTTCCAAAATGTCAACGAATCTCACTATGTTTTCGTAGAATTGTATTCTTTTATCTGTTTTAATGTATATAATACATTCTATAGAATATTTAGTATAATTATGTACTTTACTTGTATTATATTTTTCCTCTAAGAATAAACGAGTTTTTATAAACTTAGAATACTATTAGTGTTGTACAAATACCAGAAAATTTTAGTTTGCACAATGGGTGGTACGAGTTATTCAGGCATCAACTGTCGTGATACTGCTGCTCTGAAGTCAAATTTTCATTACTTCGAAGAAAATATGACTGTTACATCGTACATGTTCTATCTTTTTCACTTTCCTTCTCAGACTACTGAAGATTTCGTGAATTATTTCAATCTGACTTAGAGCAGCAACTCTGCTAACTGTTTTCATTCTCTTGTAAGAATTATCATTGTTTAAGAGTTCTGTTGTTGTAGACAAAGTTTGTTTAGAAGCTAAGTTCTTTCGATTTCACATAAAAAGTACTTGAATTTAAAGAATTTACTCTTAAAACTGCAAATTGCTGACTGCACCTACGAAGTTAAGCGTGAGAAGTGTATACTAGGCAATTGAGAAATGTTTCCAATTATGTGAGAACTGTCTTTATGCATATTAGTGCGATTGACCGTTGACAATGGAAACGGAAAAAACTTCATAAAAGTAGATTTCTTGAGCATAAAAAAGAATTTCGTCTTACTTCACTGTCTAGCATAATTTAGTTCTATTATTCGAATAGTAATATAATTCTCCATCCATGTTACAAACGCAGCACACAAACGTTTTTATCTAAGATGGTGCTATATCTTTTCCATAGAAAACAATTCTCATTTTCTGGTAAATTAAGATGATCGATTACATATAAAGGTTATAAGCTCGTAACTTGGACAATGAAGATCAACAGATGACATTAAGTATAAAATTTGAAAATATGACCTAGATTTATTCAAAAAGATAACAAATAAACTCCAAACAATCAACAGAAATATTGTTTGTACTCAATAGTACCGTGACTCCATTTGATTTAATTTCACAAACGTAACAATTATTTGTTGTTAATTATCAGCTTCAGATATACTGTTGAATGCATGTACAGTAAAGCCCAATGGTAAATCAGAAACACGTTCACCTTTCAGTTTTATACATAAAAGACCTTGTGGCGTCGGAATACGAACAACTTTCGATCGTTCACTACTAACTTGTGCTACACTGGAAAAACCCGCAACTGCTAAACTTTTTCGATCTAAATTAGGTTCAGGTGAAAAACAATATTTAAATTTTCCACGTTTATCAAGTATTGAAGCCAAATTTTGTTCACAATCCAATATAATAACGTCGGTATTCGGCAGAACGGCAACACTACACGTTGGCTTCAACAACCGACGTACCCGCCGAGATAATTTGTTACTTTGTTCATAAGTGTTTGCGCTTACATCCACTTGTCCATTTTCATCTGATACCGGAGGGATAATCAATATTTTATTACCATCAAATACGATTCCATCGTTGATCGTCTACAAATAAATAAAATAACTATCCTTAGTTTAGATTCATAATGAGAGTAAATGTCTTTAAAGCTGAATGTATACTTGAATGGCTTGTTCACATGTTTCTAGTACTGTTTTTTCGGTTACAACATTGTCTGTTTGTGTTGAGCTATCACAAAATGATTTTAGTTTTTCTAATTCGTTTTCTTCAACTTGCACACCGCCTTCAGCCGACGTCAGGACATTATATTGTGTTGGAGTATCATCGATTGCTGTTGCTTTATGTTTTTCTGCTTCTGCAAGCATTTCATTCTCGTTCACATCCTCTTCTTGTTCGATTTCTCCATTTTCAACTATCTCCTCATCGTCTAACAGACCTTCTTGTTCGTCATCATCAGATGGGGTCCTTGAACACATCATTAACTTGCCCAGGTCTAACTTTCCTGGGCGAAATCTCACGCGCATATTAATGTTTTCTGGTAATGGCTCTAATTCAACTGTTTCTAATTCACGAAATTTTTCAACCAATTGTTTTTTCACTAATAATAATTCAATATCTTTTCCTAAATGAAAATTCAAGCATTCAATACAAAGATAAGGTTTTGTAACTCTTTTAAGAATATAGAGAACTTAGAAATAACATCGACCTATTATCGCCTATGGTTTATTTTTACTCATTTAAACTTTTTACCATTGACAACGAGTTCGGTGAGTGAACATGTATTTTTCACTTGTTCAAAATATTCATCTAGTTCTTCTCTACGTTTAATAAAATCATGTGTGTCATCACCATACAATGAAGATATTTGTGCTACTAATTCTTGTTCTTTAACTCTCAGTGATTTTTCAAATGTTGCCGCTAGTGTATGTATTGAAGCTTCGATTGTCGATATATTTGAATCACAACGTTTTATTATATGTAAATAATCTGATAAATCGTTCATTTTTGATGTACATTGATCAAGACATTCTTGAATATATTTTTTATGGCTAGCAGCTGCCGAATGAAAATCGGATAATTCGTGATCACGATGTTCTGAATAAGTACACGCTATACATATACAACATTCACATCGTTCACAATAGAACCGAACAAATTCGGTTAGATGATGTTTACATAAAATATCTTTTTCAATTTCTAATTCATAGATTGAATGATCTTGAGTGACTTTAATACTTTGGTGAGCTTGAACACAATGACGGCATAAAAACTTTTGACATTCTAAACATCTTGAACTTGCTTCACGTTCTCGATCGTGTACTATTGAAGACAAGAAAAAGTATTAAGTCAAGCTATGAAAATAAGCTGCAATACGAACCCGTTTTACACATATCACAGTTGGCTAGTTTTGCAACGGTTTTACTTGATAACATTTCAGAGAGTCCTGCAATAAGAAAGTTATCGGGTAATTTATGTACTCCACCAGTGGGAATGGCTGTTTTTTTTCGGCATATTGGGCACGCAAATTCGCGATAATCAGTGTATTTGTATGATCTGAGGAAAACAAAAATCAATAGTAAAAATCATTACAAAAGACAAACATCATATTCTCACCTTTGTGCTGATACGTGATTTTCTATACATTGTTCACAAAATGTGTGTAAACAGCTCAAACATTTTGGATCTTTGAATGGTTCCTAAAAGAAGATAATAATCGATCTATAGTTAGCAATATAATATTCTTAGAAAACTATTTATTTGGCAATTTTATTTCTTCGACGACCAAAAAGACACTGATGCAAAGACTTTTGGCAAAGGTTTAGGTTCCTAATGATTCTTTTCTTCACTCGTACAGATCTATACAGTTATGGTAAGAAACCAAGCAAGGTGCTACCAGATTTCTTTCTCTGAGACTCCGCTGTAATCGAAACTAAAAGAGGAGCTGTAGGATAACGCTTTTCTCTCACGTACTAGACATATTTTGCATGTCAGATATTGATCATTAATTTTTTCAGCCAAAAGAAGCACTTGCTGAGTCATTGTCGCTGTTTTTGTTGGGGTAGGTGTTGAAGATGTCCGTTGTATCAGTTCAGCCAATGAAATTCTAAAAAAATATAATTTGAGTAAATAAATGAAAACCTTATGGATAACATATAAGAACCATCTTTAGAAACGTTTATTGACTATTTTTTTCCAATTCGCTTTTATTGGCAACTTTTTCTTCTACTTATGTTTTTCAATATAAAAATTTTCTTTTCTGTCTATACGATATGAGACGAAAAAGTCAAGTGCTACAGTCATAATCTCTAGATTTACGTTATTTATTTGATATATGAGATAGAGGGAGAGAGAAACAATCTAAAACGCCTCCTAAAATTGCGTACGTACCTCGTACGTCAATATTTTCCTTATTTTTTCGTTAGAAAATGAAAGATTAATAATCTCTAAAACTGTTTTTTTGTGCATTATTATCGATAGGCTAGGAGAAAAAAAATATTCTTTTCTGATATGTACAACAGTTTTTCCAGAACGGATAAAAGAAGAATTATTTGATATCAAAACCTACGAGCTGTTTTGATATAGGTACAATACTTTTTTGACATGAAAAGAAGTATTGTGTTATTTTGTCAATATGATACAGACAGCATCTCTGTTCGAGTTTTCAAACAATTAAAAACTTTAAACGCCGCCGAATTTTTTACATAAGATAAGAGCTCATTGTATACGTCTAAAACTACTCTCCAATAAAAATAAAAATATCCGCCACACGAAGATCGGTGACTCGGGGTTGCTTAACATGAGCATTGTTTGTGCGAAAATTGATAGCGGCTGATTAAGTGAAAATAATGCATAAAATTGTTTTATCTATATATCAAAGTGTTTTCATTATATAGACTCAAGTTTTACAATTAAGTATATGCTTTTTTATGAAAAAATAATGATTCTTATTAATTCCAAAAATTAAATAATTAGTATTATTTAGTCGTTTTTACACTTAACTAGAGAAAGACCGTTTTTAGCATATAAGAAGTGATTCTGTGAGTATCTACATGTTTCAATATATTTTCAATATATTTCTATAATGGATTTGAAAATCATTATGTTCTAGAGTATTTTGTTACCGTGCCAATTGCAGTTTTAATGAATATATGTAACACGAAAAATATGCATCATTTTTCTGAACCCTCATATTTACAAAACTATCGAGTAGCAGTTTCAAAAATGTTGAATGACGTCTCAGTAGCATTTTTTACGACATACATTGTCATTCATTTCATTTCAAAGCTAAACGTTTACATCGAAATTTCATCAATGATTCGACAGTCTCAAAAAGGAATGAGCTAGCTTATTTGTATAAACTTTCTCAACTGCATCGAGAAGCAAAAATATACCTCTGTTTTGGTTGTTGGACATCCACACGAAATCATTAAACAATGATCTAATTTATGATGATATAAAACCGCCGTTTTGTTAGAGATAGATGTTAGAGATAGAGAGTTTAATGGTCTGCCGTTCATTTTGATGAGCTTAGTCACTTGTGGATTATTAATCAGTGTTTTCTTTCATATTATGAACACATTTATACAAAATGACATACATTTAAAAACAATATAAAACAAAAACAGCACATAGTTTATCACACCTACCCAATAGGCATTCATTTTGCCATACAAAACTGGCATATTGAATGGCATATGAATATTATGACATGATCTTACTGCATGATGTTACAAGATTTTTTCGCAAGATCTTACGAGATCAGGTTATAAAATGCGACAACATATTACAAACGCTTGTGACAAGAAATAGAATAGTATTATAAAGTTTAGCAAGAATTATTGGCTCATCTGTGCAATATAAATTCTGCTACAATATACAGCATACATATACACCATCGTTCTTATAAACAAACTTTGAAATTTTTATCTTCATATATCAGCTCATCACTAATAAAATGCATGGTCATGTGGTTAGACCCGACTTAATGACTACCTAAAGGTAGCGGAGAAATTTGGAAAGACAACCACTGAAATGGAAATATCTTCGAACAGACTAGAGGGGGTCTAAAATCCTCTCAGTGATTAACGAATTGTGAAAGTAGTAGAACTTACTATGATAATGAACGTACATACTTTTATGGTCCTATAAAATTATCTGCTCAAAGTCGATTGTAGACTAATGGTTAAGAGTATTAATATTTGTAATAGTTTGATATTTTAAAATCATTTATTCACAAGAATATATCTAATGAGACTGTGCTTCATAACTTAGAAGTTAAAACATTAGCCTAGCAAATCAATGCTATTCAAACTCGATTCCCTATTGAGAAATGTGTTTTTCTTCTCATTGTTTGTCTATCACAGTGGCAAACTATGTACGTTCATTCTTCCTGTATGATGCTGGTAAAGAAAAGCTCTTTAATCTTACTACACGTATCAACTATCTAAGGTAAAATAAAATGAAATAATAACAAAATGAAACATTAGCATTAACTACGGGATGTTTCAACCTCACCCCACGTGTAGATTTTAAATTTAGAGAGATTCGACGTCTGATTTTAGTAGTTCTAGACAAAAACCATGTAGAATCACGTGTCTAATATAAAAAATAGTTTAAAATGATAACTGTCCAGTTAGTTTGAATGAACTCTCTTAAATACATACTCGTTTTCGCCATCACCATGATTACTTCGATTGTCAGAAACTGACAATCTTATTTCACTATGTCGTTCGTTCATATCCATTATATGCGCATATGTCAAATGGGCGAGCAGCTAATTAGAACCACCATACAATGTACCCAGAATTATTCATTTGAGAAGAACATTCTCAACTATACAAGTGTTTATATGCAGTTATCAACATGTTAACCACTGATTTTCTACCCACATCTCTTTAGTAAGATGCTAGTTGTTGGAGGAAAAGTTGACAAGATAGATATTTTTGTGTGGTAACATCCGGATTATTGACTTCATAGGATAAGAATATAATGTGATGATAATGTTTATTACGTGTTTGTGTACTTATATGGCCTCGTAGTCAAAGTTAATCAAGAGAGAAAAACCGGTAAATAATACAACAAAAAAAAATCAGCTCTCATATAACAGACAAAAATAACCCTGACAAAAAGAAATATTAATCAATCCTATAGAGAGATACACCCGTATTTTACATCGAACTTTGAAAGCGCTTCAATGTAGACTAGACATATCAAACATGACAAAAAAATAAAAAATCTCTATTCCTATTTTAAAGAGAAAAACAAGGAGTTGTGCTTTTTCTAGTAGTACAACAAAACTTACGCAAATATCAAAAATAATTTTAATTGAAAAATCGTTTTTCGAATTTCTGCGCATAATATAAATTAATTAGACGATATTCATAACATGCAAAATATTTATACGTCCTCTACCACTTTATGAGCTATTAGGTTGAGCTCTGATCATCAGTGTGACGATCATACTGTTTGAAGAGAAAGAGATTTTTGCTTGTATTTAACAGTTAGAATTCCATTTCTGTTGATTGTGGGGTAGAAAAAGTTCAGTATAATACAGTCTTAAACAAGATCTTTTCAGGTAGAATATGATCAGTTTTCTTATTATATTTGTATATAATTCTTCATTTTCGAGAAATTAGTTCTCCATAAATTATCTCATCGAATGGAAGTATGACAAATACGAACAATAAACTGTCTTTTACGTAAGACGAAGATCATATGTCAGACGCAAGTGTTCGAGAAAGAGAAAAGAGAAATAGACTGATTTTATCTTCTAGTAAAACCTGACAAATACAATTATATAAAATCTGCCAAAAACAAGGATATTTTTAAAGTGCAGTAAAAGGTCAACATATAGAAGAATTTTAAAGCAGAATTATTCTAAAATCACATACCCATCATTATTTGTATCTTTCTTCATATTTAATAAATCCATAACTTTAACGTCTAATGAATTTGGTCTCATATTTAAGTTACCCACAGTATCACTATTTTCGTACACACGACAATTCAAACAACCTTTTAATTTTTTAATAACTTGCATGCGAATTTTATTCTCGTCATCAACGAAAAATTTGATTTGTTAAGTTTTTGGTATTCAAATACTAACAAATTGAGTAAAGAGGAAAATGCACTAAAACAATTCATGTTTTTTATTTATTTCTCATCGATCCCATTAGTGTGTGTAATATCTGCTAGTCATCAACAGATGGTCTAAGTTTGAGTGGAAAATGCAATATCAAGAGAAAAGAGAGAAAGAGAAAGAAACAAAACGAACTGGTCATTTTTTATTACATATACACATTACGTTTATTGTCAGATGTATAATCATCGGTTGGAATTATTGAGAATATACTGAGAAAGAATTTTATGTAAACATATGAAGAAAAAATGAACAATAATCGTCGGTACTCGGCATATCAAATAATTAATAGAGTTAACAGCAGTAAAAAGTCAATGTCTTTCTGTTGAAACATAACAAAAAAGACTTTGTAGTGCTGTATCTAAAAGCACCTATTTCTTGTGTATCTGTTTTTGTGAACACGACCCAAATATAATGATGAATGTCATCAAGTCGAAAAATAATAAAAAAATATAAAAATGTTTTCCACCAACATTGTACTTCAGGCATCCTTGTGGATGAAAACTAAACGTTTTCAGTAAAAATACAAGTCTAATTCAGATAGATTTTAAAAAATGATATGTTTTTCTTCTAGCGATTTCTGATACAACTAAAACTCAGTGAATAATGAAAGTTATGAAATAGGCCCGTCATGCTCACACAAGTTTATACTATTATCACATAAAAACAATCTCTCTAGTTCCAAAAATATGATACAGCTGATAAACTTAACATAAAACATCTCAACACGCTTTCAAACTATTTCTCATTATTTTTAGTAACTGAGCATGAAGCATCGGATCTCTTTTTTTATACACCAGAAAGTATGGCAATCTCTGTGTCACAGTATGCTGTTGATTTCGACAATTAATGTATGAACGTAAAAGAAAGTGGAACAGGATATGCGTCATGTTGCCAGTGAGACGTCAACTCCATGCACTATGTTTCTTCTGTTCGATCAAAAATAAAAGAGGTATAATTGTTCGGTCATTAATAAAAAAGAAAAAAAATTCTCTATACATACCGGTTCGGTGTATCATCATTGTTATAATGAAAACTTCTTTCAAGCTCGTTTCACCAACTAACAAAATCTCATCCAATCAATTGTGTTCTTTTAACGCAGATTAAAAATGGGAGTAAGGAAATAGAGTTGCTACTATTATAACAATAATAGAAATCATATGATTTTCTCCAATAACTTTTTGTACAATTACAGAGTTTTTCTTGCTGTTCTTTCTCCATCTCTCTTTGCCTCTCGCTTGATTTCGTTTGGAATATGGTAATAATGAATGTACGAAGAAGATAAAATAATTTGGATGTACAACTCATCTTTCTTTCTTCGTGCTAGCTAGCATATAAGTATGACACTATCCCAAGTCAAAGATGAATCGTTTAGCCTTTTCTTTTTCTTTTTCCATGCACACTACTTATGTAAATACAAACAAAAACTGATCGATATGTTTAACACATATGTAATTCTTTGGTTATTATTAAGCACTTATTCACTCCATCTCTGCGTAATACATACAAATCCCAAATAGTTTTTTTATTACTGGAAGAGAAAAAAACATACTGCTTCAAGTACGACTAATATGATCACTATAGCTACAGTTTCTCAGTATTACTTTGAATATTAAGACTCTTATCTATTTTTGGATATAAGTTTGATTAGTTAGTGTTGTGCTTAAAGAGCAAGCTCAAGCCATACATTTGTCATCAGATACGTTCTTGAAAAACTGTGTGTCAATCGTTGAAAAGTGTGTATTTAGAAGTGAATGTTGTTGTTAGATGAAACATATTATTTCTTATGCTTTGATACTTCTCAAACTTGTAAAAAGTAACTACGATATAAGGCGTACGTGACTAACATTTTCAAGAGAAGAAAAGCTTCACACTTTGCTCTCACATCTTAATGTCGCTAATAGATCGCCATTATGTAAAAAACAACCTCTTCAACTTGCGACATCTCTCGAAAATCATTTGCAATACCTATGCGTGATACACTATCGATTCTATTTCTACAAAAAACCTTGCCAGGGTGGTACGTTTGATACCAAAAGGTGAAACTCTCTATACTGATCAAGATAGATCAATAAAAATCAGCGAGAACAATGCTTAGAAACGATTTGCTACTATTGTGTTTTATTTCGGTAAACTAAAAAAAAAAGCCTATCGAAGAACCAGAGAAATTCTCGTATAATATGAAAAACGGAAGAAAATCGAAGAGAATGGAAACGGAAAAACAGGATAATTGATCACTGACGAAACTGATGCTGTGTACATCACAGTTTGGGCAGAAGAACGAAAACAATTTCAAAAAGATAATAGGCATCTAGCAAAATTGGAGATATCTCTTCTAGCACAGGATATGCGTGTGCAAACATTGCGATATATGTGACGTAAAAGAACGAGACAGAAAAAAGAAGTTTAAAAAAGTGCTGAAAGAATAAAATCGTGAATGAAAACAACGGTGCACTGACTTTTCCTCTTTCTTCACACGGCAAACGAGAAAAAGAGAATATCTATCGTTGATAGATATCTTGAAGATGTACGTCGTGCATGTGCGAGAAGAGATAT